GCAATCCAATTCCAGACCTAAATTTCTGGTAGTATTAACACAAGGTAAGCTTGTATTACCTATTTTAATATCTAAATATCTTGCGTAACGTTCTCGGGTTAACTTCTTACCAAAAAACATAAGTTTACTCTTATTAGGATTCAACTCAAGACAGTATTTTTTAGATTCAAGCAAAAGAGCATTTAAATCGTCATTAATTTGAATATTGGCATCTTGAATAACTTCCGGGCAAAATGATTTATACACCTGCGTGTCATCTGCATATAAATGGTAATTTGAATTTCTTATGGATTTTACTAATTCACTTGTATAAATTGTAAACAATAATGGTCCCAAAATGGAACCCTGAGGAACACCGCAGATGATATCGCCTAGCGTAGAAATCTCATTACCAAGTTTGACCAACTGTTTACGATTTTTTAAATAACATTCTAATAGTCTTGTCGCTCCCATATCAAACCCTATATAATGTAGCATAGACAAAAGCAGACCATGATTAACTCTATCAAAAGCCTTAGAAAAATCCAATAATATTAAAGCTGTTAATTTGTTTTGATCAGTATTAAGTAGGATGTCATCCAAAACCTTTAAGAGAGCAGTTGAACAACCATAGAATCTTCTAAACCCTGACTGCAATTCAGGTAATATGTGATATCTATCCAAATGCTCCTTTATCTGTTTATAAATGATTTTTTCGAAAACTTTTGATAATGTTGGCAGTATACTTATGGGACGCAAATCCTTAAAATCTCTGGGCTCGGCAACCTTGGGTAAAGGCATTACAACTGAATACTTCCAGATATCCGGAAATACACTATTCTCAAAACAAAAATTATATAAATGAGTAATAATGGGAAGAATTTTAGGGCAACAAAATATAACAGCATCCAACCCAATTTCATCAAAACCAACAGCTCTGGATTTAATTTTCATTATTATGTTAGCGATTTCTTGTTCATTAGTTAGTCTAAATTTAAATTCTCCAACATTATCTTTTTTATTATTCCAAAAACTGTTGATTAAGTCTTCATCGGGGGATGGGTTATTTTTCATTATATTTAGATAATAATTATTTATATTTTCTACATTACTTAAATGTTTGGGAACAGTATTTTCGCTTTTGCTACTTATGTCCATTTTTCTTAGAATTTGCCAATTTTTCTTTGAATTATTTTTAGTAATGTTGCAACTTAAAAATGCCTTCTTCTCATTCTTGACAGCTTGATTAGTGAAATTTCTTAATTCTTTGTAGTTTTCCCAATCTACAGGCAACTTACTTTTTTTATATTTCTGTAACGCTTTGTCGCGCAACTTCATAAGAAAACGTATATTGTCAGTGAGCCAAGGCGAAAATTTTTTTGAAGTTTTTAGAGTTTGCAAAGGTGCATGTCTGTTAATAATATTAAGAATTAACTGATTAAACGTTTTTATTTTATCATCTATGTATGCTATAGTATAAATTGTTTCAAATGAAATGTTTTCGAGTTCTGAATTAAAATTCTCAAGATTTATGTTTTTAAAGTTCCTGTATACTATTTGCTTGGGCGATTGTTTAATAATTTTGTTTTTAATTTCGCATTCAATCCAAGAGTGATCAGAAATATTACCACTGTCAGTCACCTTTACATGGCTCACTTTTTCTTTATCTGAACATAAAATTATGTCCAACAAAGACAAATCTCTAGTAGGTTTGCCTATTAATTGTGTTACATTGTAAGAATTGATAATGTTAGAAAACTGAATTACGTAGGAACTATCAATGTCAAAAAAATTGATATTAAAGTCGCCTGTACACAAAAAAAGGTCGCAATTGGGCATAACATTATTCAAGACTTCATTAAAATCATTACAAAAATTTTGAAAATTGCAAAAACCCGGTGTTCTATAAACAACACCAAATGAAATTATATATTTTTTTACCTTTAAGGTTATAAAAACTTGTTCAAAAGTAGTAATATGAAACTGACATAATTTGTATTTACCTAACGATTTACTTACATATATAAGCACTCCTCCTCCTCTACCAGCTCTATCATTTCTTATGACATTAAAGCCCTCAACATTTATATTTTGGTTTGATATGTTAGGTGAGAGCCAAGTTTCCGTAACCGCTACCAAAGAGTATGAATTAGCTAAAATATGTGCCTTGATATCGTTAAAGTGGCGTACAAGAGACCTAGCATTTATGTGTGCAATTTTAATATTACCAAAAAACATATTAATATTAACTTAATTAGGTATAAAACGTTAAATATTTATTACGTATATGTGTATAATATATGTATATATATGTATAATAAGTATAATGTATATTGTCTACTTTTTGTTTCTTTGATTACTCCTGGTTTTGATGTTATTTGTTTCTATCTGTTTTCCCTTATTAACTCCAATATCTTGTTGACCCTGCTTTTCCTTAGATGTCGTGGCTTCTTTAATATTTAATATTTGTATATTATTTTCTTTTTCTGGAGTCTTTTTATAACGATTATCTTCCTCTTCCTCGTCTGAAGATACTATGTCGGCACTTTCTACTAGTAACTCTTCTAGATTTTTATTTTCTAATTCTTTGGCAGTATAAACTATTCCTTCTATTATTAATTTTTGTCCCAACAATTTTGTTTCTAGATTATTTTTCTTCGCTTCTTTAAATTTACCCAGCAGAATTTTACGATTATCTCGTTCTTCTTTATTTAGGTCGTGGGCTAAAGCAACTCCAGTATTTTTCAGTTTAAATACGTTTTTAAATATATCTTGTTTTTTTATTAGTGAAGTTAAATGGACAATTATTGGTGCAGTTTTATCCTTTTTGTTTTTCAATGAAAATAAATAATTTATATCTGTTTTGCTAAATTCTGAATCTAACTTTTCCTTAATAAAGTTAACCACAAGTTCTAAAAGATTATCATCTTTGCTATGAGCGAGGCCAAAAATTAAGAAACCGTTTTTCTTTTGATTTCTTTCCAAAAATTAAGAAACCGTTTTTCTTTTGATTTCTTTCAAGGATGTTTCTGTTTTAATTCACTATTTTCGGTTTCAAGGTTTACAATTTTAGTTTGCAGATTTTCGTTTTCAGCTTTTTGTTTAATTATACATTCTTTAATAGATGAAAGATCTTCTTGAAAATTGTCTTGTTTTGAAGTTAACTTTTGGATTGCCACTAAAATGTCTTCATTAGTTACTTTTCCAGACATAATATTAGTTATATAGGTATTTAGATATATGGTGTGATAATTGTAATTTATTGTTGTAAGGCGGTAGCTCAGCGAGAAACCGTCCGTACCCAGCAATCGAGGTGGCAGCGGTTCAAGTCCCAGCGCTGGACTTTCTTTTTGAACAGGACCCAATATCTTTTTTTGTCGATATAAAAGTTTTTTGTAATATGCAGTTTTTACAATTAACAACGATGAAAACAAATGAAATTTCCACTTTTAGTCACTCAAAACGTTGATTATTTTTGAAAACATCACTTCCTTCCATTCACAAACACACAATTAATATTGTTTATTACTTTTAAAAAAATTAAAACCACTATAACTCATGTAATTTGCATATTATCAGACAGTATATAAGCAGTACCTCGTTCGTTCGTTCAATGTAAATTGAATTTTATTAAAACAACTTAATTGACCAAATCAGCCTAAAGAATTTGTTTAATGTAAGCAAAAGAAAGATATCCAAGCCTTAATGTATTGGATGACAATGAAAAAGATAGCGTACGAAGAAGGAAAACAGTTATTTAAAAAGTTATAACTATAACAAAAATATTTTGGAAACCATAGTCCCAAATAACCCTATTAAGGAGTGTATCTCTTATAAGAGATATAAATATTTCTGTAACCAAATTAGGAAAATTAGGTTTTATAATTAGGGTTATATTTAATTTTCGACTATAAAAACAAAAATGTTTATTGGGGGTGTTTCTTAATCTTAAACATAACTTTTACTTACACGTTATGGACCTCCAATCCTCCATGGGAATATTGGGGTTGAAGCTCCTAAATATAATCTTCTTAGTTTTAAGCAAAGTTCGCCAAGTACCACTAAAATATATTAAAGAACGAATAAGTTACAAAACGTCATTTTCTCGCACGAGGACAAGTTTGTAATGGAAGAGTGCGAGAAATCATCTTATGAGATGAGATTGCAATTTGGAGATTTATTCTACAGTTGGTAGTACGTGTAATTTTTTTTATTTGACAACTGACAACTCAAACCGTTTTAACCTCACTTTTCTCCAATTTTAACTTAAAGCTAACTTCAGCCCGTTGGCGAAATAGCATTTTGCTCACAGGTTAAGAAATAAGCAATCAGGGAATTAATTATTTTGTCCACTCCCGGCAGGCCACACAATTACATATTTCTTGGATGTTAAATATTTATATTAAACGTTTAACAATTAGTATAAGTATTATTTTATTGACAATTATAATTTAGGTATTAACTTTTAAGTAGTCACAAATCCAGACCTGTAATCATTAAGTAGGTACCTAGATTTTATGCATATCCACTAATAAGTTTCTTTAACTTAGTTTCCCAATTAAACTAATTACTTACAACTACACAACTATTAGTATAATTCAGTGATTTGGTATAGTTAGTTAGTAAAACGTTATTACCACAGCTTTACCTACTGCAAATAAATGCAAATTTTATAACATGAACAAGCAATGAAGATTATTGACTTGTGGGAACGGAACCTTAAGGAACATTGTGTTAACAATAATTTTATAATATAACCTGATTTTTTCTAGATTTTCGTGGGTTTATATTCCCTCCATCTGCGGAAATTTCCTTAGACCTGGCAACACTGCTGAAACAAACAATTTAAAACAAAGTTACTTGCGCCACCTACAAGTTGGTAGCTGAACCATAACTGTATGTTATAAAATATTCTTTTTACCGATGACTCATTAGTTAAAATTAAACAAACCTCATAGTTCACCTACCGACTCGTAGGTGAATATCTATTTTATTTAAAGGCATTTTGAATAGATGATATTTATAAAATGCAACAACTGTCAATTCTCGTAAGCTAAAGTTTATATCGGTAAAATTGTACTTTCAACTTTGGAGATAATTAAAAGCGTTATTCTAGTTCAGCAAACAAACCAAAATGGTTCTATCGAAACCAATAATTAACGCACTTTCGTTTTATTTTGGACAATTGTTCGAACATCCGATAAGAACGAAAGCAATAAGTTGGTAAGTTGAATTTTTAAATGTGAAATATAGAAATTAATGTGGTTTTTAGCTGCGTAATTGCCACAGCAGGAAATTATGCATCACAACAAATTGCTGGAGTCAAACAGTTAAATGTTCAGAGTTTATTGGCCTATGCAGCATTTGGGTAATAACATTAAAAAAAATTACTAAGACTGGGGTTAAAGGTGAATTTTCTAGATTACTTTTTGGTGGTACTATCCCTCACTATTTCTATTTGGGATTGGAAAAATTAGTACCTGAGGAAGCGGCTTTTGTAGTGATCAAAAAATTGTTTATGGAAAGACTGATATATTCACCATTGTACCAAGCTTTTACTCTTTATACACTTGCCCGACTGGAAGGGAAGGACCATAATACAGCCCTCAAACAGTTGCAAGGGCTTTATTGGACCGTCCTGACATCCAGCTGGAAATACTTAACCATTATCCAGCTGTTAAACCTTAGTGTAGTCCCTCCTATGGTAAGTTATTAGAATACTTAAAAGTTAAGTCATCCTATTTAAACCTTGAACTGTAATACCTAATGAAACTTATAATATTATCTTGTTATTAAGTGCAAAACAATTAATGAAATTTTTTTTCTATTTTAGCTCAGAGTTTTGGTGGTCAACTTAATAGGATTCTTCTGGACAATTTATGTTGCAAACAAGAGACGACAACAACAAGCCAAAAGCAAAAAGGGCAACTAAACAAATTGTTATTTTTAAGGACTGGTCTATTTTTGGTGGGATAAATTATAAGATTATATATTATGTATTATAACATTCCAAAGTGTTTGATTTTTATTTTTATTGAATAAATTTTTAATAAATTTTATTTTTTGTTTCAAAAACACATAATATAATTAACACATAATAAGTTGCAACTTCCTTTATAGAAGAAAAAAATCAAATTTGAAAGATGGGTATCTAATCTCAATTCTTTAATACTGAAAGTGTTATGTATTTTAAATTTAATACTGTAGGTATACCTTAATTTTACAGAAAGCAATATTTCTATTTTTTTAGTTTTCCGAATGCAGGTAGGCACCCAGGATTACAAATCAATAATACTGTGCTCCCATTGGCGGCTATAAAAGTTAAATAACTCCTGCAGTTTAACGAATTCGAAAAATGGTAATGGAAAATTGAGCCTCCAATATTTACCTCTGTTTATGTAAAAAGAACTCATACAAGAAGAAAAAGTAGATTTCCATGTTAATGTTTGAAGAATATGAAGAAGTAATAATGAACCTTTTGTGCCTTAGGGAGCGTCCATAAACCTCGTGATGATGGTAGGGGGAGGGGGGTTTGAAGGACCGTCCCGATTTGTTAAGACCGGGGAAGAGAGTTTATTAAAACGTCACGTGACAACGTTAATCAAATTCCATTTTATCCAGATTATTACAAAAAAGAATCGGTAAAAATATTTTTAGGGGGTAGGAGAGTTCAATAATTTATCACATGACCCTTCAGGGAAATCTTTACATCACCACATTTTGTCACTAGAGAGAGGGTCGATTTTGACCATTTTTAGCGTCACGAGATTTATGGACGGCTCCTCAACTAATGTGTATTTAGGCCTGTAAAGTATTCGCTAACAACGTGCGTTTCGTTGGAGTACTAATTTGAATTCATCATATTTTTATATTTATAAAATATAGGTAAAGGAAAACCCAGCAAGGTTAAACAAATACATTTAAAAATGTATTAAATAAAACTATTTTGGTTTATCATAAATATATTATGTTGACAAGTTTGATAAACAGCATTTTGGTCACGAGTTTTAAATAGGCACGAGCAAAGCTTGCGTCAAACACAAAAAATAAATAGTTTTTTTTATTCTGAATTTGACACATTTGATTATGTTGGTACTGTATATTAATACCTACTTTGGCAATTTTACTATTTAAAATTGGTACTTCTGTTTAATGCCTTAATTTTACTTGACATTTATCATTTAATTGTTAGAATTATAATAAAAAATGCCAAAGATAACAGAAAATTTTAAATAAAATATGACATCTGTCAGACTGCTCGCTTAATTTTGACGATTGTATGACATTTGACAACTGCAACTAACTTCAGCCAGAATTCTGGCCAATGTTGCTAGGCTTTGTTATCTATGGCTAACTTCAGCCCGTGACCAAAACGCCATAAAGTCACAGCTCGTCAATGTGTACCTATTTAAAGAATCACTTAAAGTTGAGAGTATAAAAATTAAATTAAAATAATAAAATATGGACATATTGTTCTTTTCAGTTAAACTCTTGATTATTTCCCTGTGACAACTCTGAATGCACGTCTCTTTCATGCTTGTTTTTGTCCCTTTTTCTTGTAAAGGATCTCCCACAGAAAGCGCAAGGATAATAATTATCCCCTGTATGTATCTCCATGTGTTTCGTCAAATTCCCCTTTTCGGCAAACTGTCTTCCGCACAGATCGCAACCGAACGGTTTTAAACCCGTGTGCAAAATTTCATGTTTCTTTAGGTGATGACCGAAGTTAAAACGCTTCCCGCATTGTTTGCATTCGTATTTCTTATTCGGTACGTGAGAGAGCATATGTTTTTTTAACAAATCTTTGATAGAGAACCGTTTGTGGCATATATTACACTCGTGCGGTTTCTCTCCGGAATGCCTCTGGAGGTGCGTCAGTAAACTGTGCTTCATGAAGAAAGCCTTTCCGCATTCCGGACACAAAAATGTTTTTTCCCCGTGCCTTACTTCGTGGGCTTTCAGTCGGGACAAAGTCTGCCACCCTTTACCGCACGTCGAGCAAAAGTACTTTGGGTCGTTGGTGTCTTTCTCAGTCTGGTGATTCTGTAAATGTTTCTTGTAAGGCCTGAGCAATCGGAATACTTTACCGCATATATTGCACGTGTTTTGTTGTCTGTTTGGGTCGGCATGCACTCTTAAGTGTTTTCGAAGGTCGAAGGCACGCCGGAAACCTTTAAAATAAATTTAAATTGTAGGTACCTAGATCATGGGTGTTACTATAATTTCCAGAAGCAAGCATTTGTATCATCAAATATGTATGGTAAAGTAAAATTAATCTGATTTCAAATTATTTATTAAAAATGCGTTCTATAATATGCTTTATTAAATATTTAACTTACTTAAATTGTATCATTAATATTAAAATGCGGAATATCCAGTAACCATAATGCTGTTTGGATTAATTCCAGGCATTGATGGTACATTATGGATATCCTTTTCGTGTTTATTTCTGTCCCTTTTCCTCGTAAACGACTTTCCGCAATGATTGCAAGGATAATAATTATCCCCTGTATGTATTTCAATGTGCTTGGTAAGGTTCCCTTTATCGGCAAACGACCTACCACACAACTCACAAGTGTGTGGTTTCAAACCTGCATGAAGCATCATGTGGTTCTTCAAAACATGATTGAACTTGAACTTTTTGCCGCACAACTTGCACTCGTATTTCCGCAGATCCATGTGGGAAAGCATGTGTCTTTTAAGTAGGGGTTTAATGGAAAACCTCTTGCCGCACTGGCTGCAAATGTGCGGTTTCTCCCCGGTGTGCCGTTGCAAGTGGGTCTGCAAACTGTGCTTGGTGGAGAAAGCCTTTCCGCACTCGGTGCACAAGAACTTCTTCTCGCCGTGTCTCAGCTCGTGCGCCTTCAGTATCGCCAACGTCTTCATCTCCTTACCGCACTGATTGCAAACGTACTTGCAGTCCTCGTCTTGCTTGGTTTCCTCGTGCTTTTTCATGTGCTTTTTGTACGGTTTAATGAGCAAAAACGTTTTCCCGCACAGCTCGCAGGTGTTTTTTTTGACGTTGCGGAGCATCGTGCACCTGCAAGTGCTTGCGCAGGTCGAAACCACGCTGGAAACCTTTAAAACAAAACCACAATTTTATTACTGCTACATAATATCTAAGGCATTTATTTCCTGAAGCATATCGTTGGGTTTTAAATATTTCCATTATTTACGGGGTTCCGCAAGAACACTACTTGGGAGCACTCATATTTAGTGTCAATTTAAAAATAGAATGTCTTATATATAATTTATTTTATTGCATTATACATCTTTTTCATTATAAGTTAATATATAAACAAACTTAATTACTGAATTATAAAAACATCTTTAAATAATAAATCACTCGCCTTACATAAAGACAATTTTTTGTATAAGAACCGGGTTTCTACACATATTTACACAAAAAGATCAGACTATGGTGTAGCTACAGTAACCTTCACATCTTATACAAGGAAATAAGTATACCGTACCCTCATTTGCAAGCTAACCATAGGGAAAATACAATGTAACTGGACCAGATAAGTCGCAGTCAACACAAAGCGAGAACCTTCTCAGAAATGATTTGGATGCGTCGTCGAGACATGCGTACTAAAACAAATTTTACCAGATTTACACCGCACAAAATACAAAACAATAATAAAGCATCGATGTATGAAGCAAGGTCAACTGTTACGGCGAATGCTAGCCTACTCGTCCACGCGTCCAAATAATTTCTACAACGTTTTTCGCTTCGTGCTGACTAAGACTTATCTGGTCCAGTTACAATGTATTTTCCCTATGGTTAGCTTGCAAATGAAGGTGCGGTATGATCAAATCATTATTAAGTACTTTGATGTGAAATAAGAATATCTGGGTTCATAGCTACACCACTGAAACCTATCAGACACCAAATAAAATAAAGACTAACAAACAGGCGCTTGTTGTGGTTGTACAGGTGTTTCATGCACGGCACCATGAACATTCCTTTCATGTTTGCGCATGTCCCGATTTCTGGTGAAAGATTTACCGCAATAAGAACAACCAAAATGCCTTTCCCCGGTATGAATCTCCATATGCTTGGTGAGGTTCCCCTTTTCGGCAAACCGCCTTCCGCACAATTCACAGGGAAAGGGTTTCAAGCCAGTGTGTAAAATCGCATGCTTCTTTAAGTTGTGATTGAAATTAAACCTCCTCCCGCATTCCTTGCACTCGTACTTCTTGTTCTCCACGTGCGAAAGCATATGCCGATTCAGTAAATCTTTAATGGAGAATCTCTTATGGCAAATATCGCACTCGTGCGGTTTAACACCCGAGTGTCTTTGCAGATGAATGTGTAAGCTCGCCTTTACGCTAAACGCTTTCCCGCACTCACTGCACAAGAACTTCTTCTCTTCGTGCGTCATTTCGTGGCTCTTCAGCGTTTGCGCGGTCTTCATACCTTTACCGCAAGTCTTGCAGAAATAATTGTACTCGTTGGGATCGGGTTTCTTTAGGCTCGCGCCGAACACCTCGTGCTTTTTCATATGCTTTTCGAACACTTTAATGCGGTAGAACACTTTTCCACACAGATTACATTCGTTCTTTTCTTTTTTCGGCGACTCGTGCGATAATAAGTGGCGTTGCAGGTTCCTGCTTGAAACTAGACCTTCAAAAAATAAAGCACACTGTAGTACATCGTCATTAGATTTGGGGTTAATTTCCAGAAGCAATTATATTTTCAACAATCCAAAATATTTCTCAGGCAAAAAGGTATGGGTAATTTGAGGGTGTGTGTAACAAACAAGAATGGTATATATTTAAAATATTATTATTTATACAGTCACAACTTGGTTGAATACAAGGTTTGTTCCTACAGTGCATTAGGACTGTCGAAGGGGGTTTTACTATTGCGCATGTCCCTGACGTCCATTTGACAAATGCTATATAAGAACAAACCTACAATAATACCTAATAATTTTCCCCAAAGTACACTACTTGAAAAAATCAAATTAATATTAATTTAGCCCTAAATGAACTCTCCTTTCATGTTTCCTCATATCCCTATCCCTTGTGAAAGATTTCCCACATATAGAGCAGGGATAATGCCTCTCTCCAGTATGAATTTCCATGTGTTTCGTTAAGTTTCCCTTGGCAGCAAACTGCCTTCCACATAAATGACAACCGTACGACTTAATGCCCGTATGGAGAACCAAATGGTCCTTGAGATTATGCGAAAATCTAAACCGCTTCCCGCATTGCTCGCACCCAAACTTCTTTTCGTCCCCATGGGAGAGAAGGTGCCTCTTCAAATACTTCGCCAGAGTGAACGTTTTCTCGCAAACGTGGCATTTGTGCGGCTTTTCGGTGGTGTGCCTCAGCAAATGAGCGTGCAGATTAACTTTCATAGCGAACGACTTCCCGCATTCGCTGCACAAGAACGTTTTTTCTCCGTGCGTCAACTCGTGGTTCTTGAGAGTTTGCGCGGTTTTCATGCCCTTGCCGCACGTCTTGCAGTAATACCCATACTCGTTCGGATCGGACTTCTTCAGATTCGGACCGAGCTGCTCGTGAAGTTCCAAATGCTTCTTGAACACTTTAACGCGCAGAAACACTTTGTCGCATATTTGGCAAACGTTTCGCTGTTTGCGCGGCATTTCGTGTACGGTCATGTGACGTTGGAGGTTGCGCTCTGAAGTGGCTCCTTTAAAAACAAAACCTTATTGAAATACATAGTTTTTGGTAACATTTCCTGAAGCAATCGTATCATTTAGGGTGTCCAATACACAATATTAAAACAGATTAGATATTATAAAAAGATTAGGGGGAACCTTGGCGTTCTTAAATTTATTAGTATAATACCCTAAAATTACATTAAAATATCATTCAAAATGAGCAAATAAAATTATCACATATTATTAAATAACTTCGTTGTGTACAATGCCGTGTACTTGTCTTTCGTGTTTTCTGGCATCCCTATTTCTGCTGAAAGTCTTGTCACATGCACTACAAGAGTAATTTTTATGTCCAGTGTGTATTTCCATGTGTTTGGTTAAATTTCCTTTGGCAGCAAACAATCTGCCGCATAGTTGGCACCCAAACTCCTTAATTCCAGTGTGGAGAACCAAGTGGTCTTTAAGATGGTGCGTGAATTTGAATCTTTTGCCGCATTGCTCGCATTCATACTTTTTAATATCCGTGTGCGAAAGCATGTGTCTATTTAAGAGGTCTTTTATGGTGAATCTTTTCTGGCATATATCGCACTTGAAAGGTTTTTCCAAGGAGTGTCTTTTCAGGTGGGTCTGCAGATTACCTTTCACGGCAAACGCTTTTCCGCATTCACTACACAAAAATTTCCTCTCACCGTGTATTTGCTCGTGGTTTCTTAACGTCTGTATATTTTTCATTCCCTTCCCGCAAAATTTACAGTAGTACTGATATATGCTAGGAGTCATATTGTTATCCAGCTGATGTTGCTGCATGTGCCTGTGAAACTTTTTTATTTGCAGAAACGCTCTTCCGCATATATTGCACTCGTTTCTTTCCTTCTTCGGTTCGTTGTGCATTTTTAAGTGTACTCGCAAGCTGCTCAACCTCGAGAGTCCTTTAACAATAAAAGGCGATGTAAATTCATATCGACAAATTACTACAGTAAATTCCAGAAGCAAAATGTTAGGGATGTTCCAGCACTCTAATAAAATTAATTTGGTATAGCCAATAGTTATTGAATAAAAGTATATTTAGTCTGCTACAAAGTATAGTAAAAGTACAATTAAATAAATATAAAATACACGATACAAACTATTTTAAAAGAATACACTACGTATAAATTGAAAGCAACATCAGTCCACATATATCATTAGGTTTGAGGCATACATATAGATGGCGGTATATCTATAGGTGGAGGCATGCCTATAGATGGGGGTATATCTATAGGCGGAGGTATATCTATAGGAGGAGGAATGCCTGTAGGTGGAGGGGGCACTACAAAATTATGCACATTTCTTTCATGCTTCCTCATGTCTCTATTCCTAGAGAAGTTCTTCCCGCAAACGGAGCAGGGAAAGTGCCGTTCGCCCGTGTGTATTTCCATGTGCTTCGTGAGATTTCCCTTGGCGGCAAAGCTTCTCCCGCACAAATGACAAGCGAAAGCCTTTTGACCCGTGTGCAAAATCAGATGGTCTCTTAAATGATGCGAGCGTTTGAACCGCTTTCCGCAAATCTCGCACTCGTACTTTTTGTAGTCCGAGTGAGATATCATGTGGCGATTCAGGAAATTTTTAATGGAAAACGTTCTCGCGCATATATCGCACTTGTAGGGCTTCTCGCCCGTGTGCGATCTCCAGTGAGTCTGCAGACTTCCATTGGTAGTGAACGCTTTACCGCAATCGCTGCACAAGAACTTCTTGGGACCGTGTATCACTTCGTGCGCCTTTAATCGCTGCAGCGTCATCAGGCCCTTTCCGCACGTTTTACAGTGAAACTGAAACTCGCCAGGCTTCAAGTTCCTTTCGATTTCGTGCGTCATGAGGTGCTTTTGGAATCCTTTGATCTGAATGAACACCCGCCCGCATATCTTGCACTCATTTCTTTGCTTTTTCGGCCTTTCGTGCAGTTTTAAGTGTATTTGCAGGCTGCTTATCCTCGACATCCCTTTAAAAACAAAACCATAATGTTATAGGACATTTTGTGTTTAACTAATAGAGAATTTCCGGAAGCAATGTATTGTATACAGGATGTTCCATTTGTATTTTACTAAAAGAAGTTGTTTATAAAAATAATGTGTAAATAAAAAGCATTGCTTGTTCTTACAGTAACATTTATTCGGTGACAATAATAATAATAATGATTTGAGTATAAATAAAGTTAGGTAAATAATAAAAAATAAACATGTACATTGGATTAAACACCAAGATATGTTCAAAGTCTATTTTAAGTGGGATTGACCATATGCACGTTTCTTTGATGTTTCCTCATATCGCGATTTCTGGAGAACGGTTTCCCGCAAATACTGCAAGGATAATGTTTGACTCCTGTATGTATTTCCATGTGCTTCGTTAAATTCCCCTTGTCGG